TGCATACAAAGGACTCCGGACTAGGTTCGTTCCTCTAAGTCTTCCTACCAATATGACCGAGTTGCGAAAAGAATGTCAAACAACGTCTATACAACAGAAGAAGACTGCGACCACACAAAAGACCACACCATCTTGGTCTTCATACCTTCGAATAGTGAATAAAATTGGAATTTTGTTTAATTAGGGCCAGATTAGACAAATGTCACATAAATAGCCTTGAGGAAATCTGTTTTCTGCTAGTTGGCTCTGGGGCTCAGATAGCCCAATTTAATAGGAAGGACAGGTAATTGAATTTAGAATCCGTACTCGTCATTTCCTGTTATCAAGAATAAATTTGGTTGATTTTTCCAGCCAATTCCGTTCATCATTTACTCTTTACGATTGTCTGCCTTCCATTAAGATATTCCAATGACAAAAGGACATAAGGTATCTATCCATCAGAGAGTTGGTATTTTATGAAAGTTGCTTGGGTATTTACAAGTCCAGGGAATAACTACCAAGTATAAGACTTTAACTTCCTTTGAGGGTATCAAAGAGCAATCTAATTGTATTTTTATTTCATTTTTGAACAGGCTTAAAGGCTGAGGAAGCTTATTTATTTTCTATCAAAATTTTCTCAGATCATAGTCGATGGTATTGGTCAACTCATGTTGGTTCGTCAGCATGTTCCTCTGCCGCTTCCAGAGCCGTCAAGGAAAGAGAGGCGTTCGGAAATTTTGGAAATGGTTGCAGATACTGCTGAATATGCCCACGACAGCGATGATGACGTCATGCCTATAGAGCCAGTAATTTATGCCAAGAATCTTGTGTCGCAACCGAAATATGATGGGTATCATAAAATAGCCTCGTCGGAAGCAAAGTTTCACGTTGGGATAGAAGGGCGACGGAAAGCCTCTACCAACAATTTGTGGTATCCGAATCAGGTATGGTAACACAGATCACCCTCTGCTATTTATAAGAAATCAAAGTGTCTGAACATACATGAACCAACATAAAATGTAATTATCTTTAAATTTAACCTTAATCTTTTCGCACTGAAGCTTTCATTTGTTCATTGACTTTCTTTCAGGCAAGATCCATCAATTGTTATTGAGACTTGAGTAAATAAATCACTTGCTCCCAGTCCCTAGTTTGCAACAGTTTATATCTAAAGTAAAATGAACACATGACAATTAGGAATTATCAGGATCCAGGTTAAAGCAATATGTGCGAGGCCAAGGGACCCTCTGTTCTGCATACTCTTCACTAAAAAGAGATTTGTTCTGTTGTTAGAAATTAGACAGGAAACAACGAACTCTAC